GAAGAGCGGCGAAGGCAGCCTAAAAAATCCTACTAAAACAGAAAAATGATCATAAATCCGATTATCCTACCGACAGAAAAAACATGGTTCTGAAAATTCCGGCCATAAAATGCAGGTGTGGTAGTAGAGTTCATGACGGTTTCGTAGACGTTTTCTTCTGTCGGTTTCACTTTCAAAGATTCAAAGAATGAAGAGAGAACATACCTCAGGCATTGTCGCTTGGAAGGTTACAGATACAGGTTCTCAATCACGGAGGCCTAATTCAACCTCCAGCTCATCATCCTCTTCGAACAACTTTAAAAGCCGAGCATACTGTTCGTCTCTTTTCTTCTTCTGCCAAAGCTTATACAGGAAGAACGAGAACAACACTACAGTCACGATTCCGATCACTACGAGGGCCACCTTTGTGCCTGTTTTGCTGGAAGAAGCGTGGGGTTCAGCCTTTGCTCCAGTACTCGAACTCTTTGTGTCATTGGAAAGACCTGAAATGGTCACATTGGAATAACATAAGGACTAAAATGAAAGATGAAGTTTACTGGGGGAAATCAGCACTACAGTCACAATACCATCAACCAGAAAAACCAGAGTCTGTCGCCAATCGCTGGCGAAACAAAACCAACACTTTCAGACCTTGATAGCAGAGAACATCTTTGCTACAACCTTTTGCAGAATTTGCAGATTACGCATTGGGATTTATCTTCCACAAAAATGGTGACATATTGCGCATTTGCATAACACCGACATGCCTGGAGTACCGAGACGATCCACAACTCCCTTTCCCGAAAATAATAGATTTTTTGGATAATTTCTTCAATCAGTTCACCGATGTTTCGCAGGACGCGGTTTTGCATTTAAATAGAATAAATCAAAGCCTTTCCTAATGAACATAATGGAAGAAACTTAACTCTTGTTGTACACTCCGAAAACCAGTAACAAAACCGAAACTACAAACCTAAATTTCCATGGTAATGTAAACTCCTTTTTCATTTGTTCTATACTATGAAAAACATACCTTCACCCGTAGACCTTTCTGATCGAAAAAGACCTAGAAATGCAATGTTATGAAGACGAAAATCTCAAGGATTCAGAAACCGAGTTCAGCTAAAATTTGACCAAAATCCCAAGGATTAAATTCCTAATCCCAAACAATAACCGAAAATGAACATCAAATCTGCCAAATCTACTAGATCAATAAGAGATACCCAAAATTCAAGGCGCCAAAAACATCCAGAAGAGATAGATCTGATCTGACGAAGACGAACCTAAGACGAACTGCAGAAAGATTGAGGCGTAAAGTACCAGACGCCGCCATGAAAGACCACATTCCGAGGTCCCTCTCATCTCTCTCTCTCAGCGACTTAGCTTGCACGCAGAAACGATCGATCTTCTTTCTGAGAAAATAAGAGATTCTCCCAGAAAATGTTGTCTGGGCTTTGCAATTTGACCCCAAAACTTTTATATAATTAATTTTGGTAGTCAAATAAATGCTTACAAGACACGCAGCTTTCAGTTTCTCCGTCGGCAGTTACGACCATATAGCCAAGCAAACTTACGAATAAAATATTTTTATACATTTTTTAGCAAATTCTGAAAAAAATCAATCATTAATTAGTCTCAGTTTCAAGGGAAAAAAATACTCCTTGTTATGTATAAATATAGTCCAAAAATTTATAAATAATATAGAGCTATTTATATAAGCTGATTATACTAGTATTGTAATGAGGCCCGATACGTTATTTCCTTTTGGCATTTTGATCAATTTGCAACATATGCGTACATTAACAAAAATTCTAAATCACTTATAGTGTAGTAAAACACGTTTCTAATAATCGAATAAAAAATATATGCAACTTCATATTTGAAAATAGATTATATATGTCTCTATGACGTTGCACAACACTCTGAACCGGAAACCGTTCTTAACCGGGACCAAAACCGGAGGTTTCATGCAAAACCAAAAAAGATTGTAAAGAACCAAACGCTAGATAATATACACGGCTGCACATGTGCATCCAAATTTTGGGTATTCACACGGATTTCAAACGGCAGATTTTAGGATTATTTTTTATAAATCAGAATCACAAAATGTAAGATTTCGACCAGAAACGTCTCTCCTCGACTATCAGTCACCCTCTAGCCTGGATTCGGCTCACATTCACCCTCTCGCCTCCTCAGCCGGATACGCCACGGGTATCCGAGCCCTCGCCACACCCCACAGGTACATAACTTTCACGAGACCGAGATCAGGTAGTATGACCGAGAAACCCGAGGAAGCGAGACCGAAGTCGGGTACATCAGAAAACTCTAGACCAGAACATCGAAAGAGAAATTGTGTATCGTACCCAATTGTATCACACAATTGAGAAGTAAAAAAAAACATAATTTAAAACCATGTATGTTCTTAGATTAGAAAACATCGGCAGCTAAGTGACGACTCAAGCGGTTCGAAGACTAGAACACAAAAAGTAACAAAGCAAACCCCTATTCAGTGAAAGATACAACCTCAGGCTTCAAAATCGTACCTTCGATTTTTTAGTTTTCCTTACTTGAAGCACTTGGCGTCCAAGAGGGCCTCGCCTTCGAAAGGCTCAGCATCTTCGATCATCTGACTCACCCTCTCCTTCTGGGCTTCGTCAGAAATGTCGACCTTTTTCCACTCATAGAGCTCCATGTCGTAAACCTCGTCCATGACAAACTTCGGGATCTCTTGCCCGCGGAAAAGCCACAAACCCTTCACCTTGAACGGAGGCTCTGACCCGCACACGAGCATCTTTCCGAATGCGTATTTCCTTGTCAAGTCCATACGCTGGAGGAATCCGCCCACCTTGTTAAGGGTCACGAATGAAACGGTGTTCTCTTCGTTGTACTTGTAATCACAGAACCACAGAGAGTATCCCTCCGGGTCATACATGTCCCAGAATCCTGCATTTATTTAGCACATCACAAGCAATTAAACCATATATCTGAAGTGATGATGTATGTAACAGACTCCATCAGCCCACAGATTCTCCTGCATTGTTACTAAGGGCAGTCAATTCGGTTAATAACCAAATAACACAACTGTATCCAAACCGAATTCGATATAAAAAGCAAAAGGATACGATTTCTCTAAAACCAAAAAACCAAAACGCAAACCCAACTGGACAAAATAAAAATATAACCGAAAAACTGAAAATTTGTATGAACAATGATTATTTTAATTGATAAAACTAAATCTGAACCAAATTCAATATAAAAACCAAATGACTTACGTTTTTCTAAAACCAAACCCCAATATAACCCCAATATAACCGTACTGAAACCCAAAACGGCCAGCCCTATGGTTAGGTGACATTTGCCAATTCAGACAAAGAAAAATCGAGTCATACCTTTGATGGCAACCTCACGGAAGTTAGTCTTAGTGTTGGAGTAAAGCCTCTTCCACTCGTCGAGGATCATTTTGCTCGGAGGAAGTAAGTCAAGAGGGTTCTTGGCTTTGGGCTTCGGCGCCTCTTCCTCCTCAGCAGGCTTTGGTGCCTCTTCCTTCTTGGCTTCTTTCTTCGGCTCTTCCTTGGCCTTAGGCTTAGCAGATTGGGCAGGTTTCTTCGAGGGAACAGCAGGGACAGATTCAGCCTGCTTGACATCACCCATTACTTTCTTGAAGTTGGGCTGATTAACCAAGGTCCAGAAGTATCTCTCAACATGAGGGAATGCAGAGGTAAAGCTTTTGGTCACGACGGTCCGGATTCCCAAGTACATATTGCAGACCAAGACAATGTCAGCGAGGGTGACTGAGTGTCCAACGAGGTAAGTGTTGGAAGCAAGGTGGGTGTTCAGAACATCGAGCGCTCTCTTCAAAGCAGAGATTGTCGCTTCCTCAGCCTTCATTCATACAAATCATTTGAAGATGAGACAAAAAACAGGCAAAAATATGACTAAATAGTGCAAGATACTAGATAAATTAAGCATAATTTAAAGAATTTAGGATTAAAAGACAGAAAAAAGGTTTACTGGAGCAAGAAAAGGTGCATAGCCCATCCTTGGAGCGAACCATCTCAAAATGTTAACATCAACCTCCATGGAAGCAAAATCAATCCATTGCTCGATTTGAGCCTACAAAGTAAAAAAAAGTGCATAAACATTGCAAATACAAAACATTAGGTTAACAAACAAAAGCAAAGGTGCAAATGAAATAAAATAAGAAAACGATCAACAAGATCTTACATATTCGATGAGGGAGGATCCAACCAAGGAATTGTCACCCTTCAAGCGACTAACTGCAAATGAAAACCAAAAGACCAATTATGTCCACATAAACTCAAGCCAAGTCATCAAACAAGGAGAAGGAAACAAGAAGAGAAAAAAGAGCAGAAAGATTGTATGATGTTATACCATAGCGAGCAATAGCATTGCTCTCAAAGATGGGACCCTCAGGAGTCTCCAGCACAGGAACCTGTCAAAGATCCATAATTTTTTCTTAATAACGCATTACAGAAAACACAAATTATTCAACCAGGAATCACTTTTCAGAAACTCCCATACCTTGCCAATGGGGTTCAGCTTGAGGAACTCTGGGGATTTGTTAGTGACGCCCATCTGAAAGTCTGAGGGCACCTCGATCTTCACACCGGTGTATTCGGCGGCAATCAGTGCCTTGAAGGCACCTTTGTTACCCGGGTAAGTGTGCATAACCTACAATAGCAAGATTCACAAATACAGAAATCCATCATTAAAAATCAGAGGAGAGATGACGTATATAAAGAAGACGGTTCTTCCTCGAAATAAATTAGACAAGAAAACATAAAGCGACAAAAATATTGACTTGTAGACAATCATGCATGAAAGAATAATTGCGGATCCCGTTGAAAAAATTCCAATAGCAACAATTCACGATATAGAGTAAATACATGCCCCAAGCGAATACATAGAGGGCATGAAACCCAGAACAGAAAATCCAGGTCTCAAGCTTTTTCAGTAAAAGGTGGATCTCAAATTGGAGCCAAACAATTGCAGACAACGCGCTTGAGATCAAAAGGGAAGATAATTCATTCTATAAACATACCTCAAGAAACTATATCAGACGAAAATTAAATCGTACACCAACTGAACCGAGATGCAGATGAATCGAAATTAGAAAACAAATAACCCAACCATTAGGAATACAGGTCTTAGAAGGCTACTCCGCCAGAATATATCAAAACCCAAACAACAAATAAACCAAAATGTGATCGGAGGAGGAACAATTAAGCCAACAAACAACAGAATTAGAAATTACGTCATGAAATATAGAACTCACCAAAGCCATTGCTCAAACGGGGAAGGAACGAACTCCGGGTTCTGAATTTAGATCTGTAAACAAATAAGATATCAACTAAAGACGATGAAGCGATGAGAAGAAGGAAGATGAAGAACCGTAGAGCTCGATCTTACCAGATGTTCTGAATTTCTTCCGTCAGAGCAGAAGCGAGAGAGAGAGAGAGGAGCAAAATGAGGCGGAGAAAACTATAAAAGGGAGAGGCAGTGAGATAAATTAGGGTTTTAGAGAGATGAATGTATGCGGTTCAGACCATTGGTCGGGAATATTCTCCGATTGGTTTATTCCGGTTCGTTTCGGTTTAGCTTTGGTATATATTAACTTCTATGTTGAAAAATGAAATGTAGTTGTAAACCGAGCCCAATCCATCCAAACCGCCCAACAGACCCAATAAACAGTTTCTACTGTGATTGGATATTTTAGACTTTGATATGATTATTTTTATTTTCAAAATTATATATTCCATTTTTTATATCGAATTTATATTCAAATTGGTTTGATTTATTAACAAAATATTTTTTTTTAACATTTAATTTTCTTTGGATTATTTTATATTTTATTTGGAATCAGTTAATTTAGTTTAAAATAAATTATCCAATCAACTTTTAATTTAAATTTCATCTAAATTTTCTATTTTTGAAAACACCCAAAAACATATTTTATTTACGCTTGAAACAAAAAAGGTGATTATTATATTAGTGTTTTGTATGAATTTAAAGATATAATTGTCTAAATAATACCATAATATCAAAATTAACCAAAATTTTTTAATCACGATCAATTTTATTTTATTACAATTATATAAAATATAAAATATTATTTGAACTAAATGCGTCATGAAAATCTATAGAATTTATTATTGACCCTTGCATTTTCGATATTTTTTAACCAAATTATATCTACCTTTTTGTTTGGTAAACCAAAAAAATATATATTAATCAGTCCGAGATTAGTCACCGAGGCTATTAACTCTATAGATAGTTGACCACAAAATAATATAATTTATGACAAGTCTACTTCGGCATTCTATTGCGACGACTAAATTATAAATAGAGTATTTTCTTCAAATGTTAATAAGTGAATTTATATTGACAATAAATGGTTTATAAACACAAAAATTGGACCGACTGCAAGATAAAACGGATCCGAAGTGGATGTTAGAATTATTATTAAAAAAAAAAGATTTCAGTGTATTTGATATCGACTACTTTCGTATTTTTGTAGACTATCTCATCTCAATTTTTGTAAAAAATCGGTATTTAAATTTCAGATATATAAAGTTAAATTGCCTCAAAGATTTGGTAGTTTTTCTTTTTTTTAAAATAAATGGCAAACCTTTAAAAAAACATAGTTAGCTCTCTTCACTTTTCTTTATTACACTTTCCTCTTCTTTGTTTTTTTAGTAACAAGGGCCTTATTCTTATTGTATGTTTCCATTTTCTCTTTTATATATATTTTTTTTCCTGTTTCCTATGATGGTTACAAAATTTTGTTAATTTTCCAATTCTTTTTTTTGTGTTGCAATTGGGTTTCTCTATAAAACGCGACACGATTCTGAGTCAAATGGTCACAAAAGCAAACCAATAGAGAGAAACATGAACCCATTATTAGCTCCGATCGCGTTCGTGAAACATCACTGGCTCTTGAAGTGGTGTTTGATCGTCGTCGGTATTCCAATCGCTGCGTTTATTTCCTATTTCTTGGGAAGACTTTTATGCACTCCTCGGGACTCACCGTCTCACGAAACTCGTGTCACGGCCATGGAAGCCGGCCACAATCCCCCAGCCGCCGTAGGCGGAGGAAACGCTAACGCTAACGCGACTAATAAATAAACCGCCGGAAACGCTAACGTGGATAAGAAACAAACCGCCGAACAACTCGTCTGAAGAAGAAGAAGAAGAAGATAATCTCTATAGAAGAAGCCATTATCGTGTGTGGTTTTTAGGTTTCTTCCTAGGGTTTGAGTTGAGCAATGCTTTTTTTTTTTCTGAAGTAACAAATAGCTTGATATTTTCAGGATCGAGTCCTCGTTTTTGGATATGAGCTTATCTTCTTTTCTTTTCTTTTTGCATTCTATGACTTTATGAAATCGACAAGTAACGCAAAAGGCAGTGAGAGATCGAATGTTGCATATGCATGCATCATGCATCATGCATGCATGCAATGCCAAGAGATGGTTGTTTGGAAAACGAAGGAATTTCTAAAGTACGTAGAGCAACACAAAAATATTACAATCTTAACCGATTTAGGGACTCGTATTTTCACGACTCATCGTCTTCGTAATTCGCATTTACTATTCTGTAACCATAATATTTGTATTCTAATTTATTAATACCATTGCGAATTATAAAAAATTAACATAATTCTCGATTCTAACATAAACATAGAGGTTAATATGTTTTCTATTTGGTTTGGGTTTTTTTTTTGTGAGTAATATTCTTTATATTTTTTTTTTAAAAGAAAGTATATTGTCTATTTTATTTATTTGATAATCGATAGAAATAACCAATTATTCTATAATTTGACAAACACTAATCGTGATACTATTTATGTATTTGGAACGAGTGATTTGGTAATCGTGACGGGAAATGGAAATTTTCCCTTTTTCCCTTTTTCCCTTAGAAGGAAGAGCTTTTGTCGAAATTGAATTTATTTCCTTTTTTAAAAAACATTAATCCATACTTTCCAGTTTTAAAATTATTTATTCTATGTATCTCAGTTTCGTCCTCGTCTCAAACCAGTGGACCTGGCTCAAAAAAGGGGGGGAAATCGGATCCGGGTTACGGGTTTGAATGCGGGTTCGAGTCGGATCCCATTCCCGTAACGCCCGTTAGTCAAATTATTCGGCTTGACCTTAATGGTGAAATTGGGATTTTTGCGGTCTATTACGTCTCCGCTGTAATTTGACAAGACGAAAAACCCTAGGCATCTGCAGCTTCTCTCACTGGCTCGATCTCTATCTAGTCTCCGGGTTTTGTCGGCGTGCAATCGTTTGGCTTCTCCGACGAGCTCGTGCCACAGGTAGTTCATGCGCGTTGGGACTAAGTTTTCTCTCTTTTTTTGGGTGTTTTCTTCATTTCACCATGTCCGTTTGATTTCTGGTATCTAATTATTTCGCGCGAGGCTTGTTTGTACTCTTTTGGTGAATCTCTTTGTAAGAAATCGGGTTTCTTAATTTTTCTTGAGTGAAATGTGTGATGCCGATCGGTTCCGATGAGATGTGAAGTATACGTTTTTCTTGGTTTCTGGGTGGTGGGACGTTTCACTTGAAGTTTTTGAAGCCAGAGCTGTCTTTTCTTTCTTAAGTATCGGGCATCGGATATGGCTTTAGTTCTGTCTCATTGGGTAGTTCTGTTTTTTGGCAGGTACTGTCGGCTTCACGACATGGCATCTGAAGGAAAAAGTTTTGCGAGGAGAGATCAGCTCCTGGAGATTCAGAATGAGGTCCAACCTGAATGGGAAGCTGCAGGTGTGTTCAGGGCTGAAGCTCGTGGTAGTCCTCCGCAATCAGGAGAAAAGTTCTTCTCGACGTTTCCCTTCCCGTATATGAACGGTTATCTTCATCTCGGCCATGCATTCTCGCTTTCAAAGATTGAGTTTGCTGCTGCGTACCACAGATTGAGAGGAGCTAATGTGCTGCTTCCATTTGGCTTCCACTGTACTGGTATGCCAATTAAGGCATCTGCCGATAAGCTTGCTCGTGAGATCCAACAGTTTGGGAACCCCCCTGTGTTTTCTGTCGAAGTAGAGGAAGACAGCAAAAAAGGTGGTGAAGTTCAGGATGACAGCGGAGATGCGCCACCATTGCCGGATCAGTTCAGGGGAAAGAAATCTAAGGTTGCTGCAAAATCCGGTGGACAGTTGCATCAGTGGGAAATTATGCGCAGTTTTGGTCTTACGGACAGTGAGATAGCAGAGTTCCAAGATCCATACAAATGGCTATACTACTTCCCTCCATTAGCTGTGGATGATCTCAAGGCTTTTGGACTGGGTTGTGATTGGAGACGGTCATTTGTCACAACCGATGTGAATCCATTTTTTGACTCCTTTGTGAGGTGGCAGATGAGAAAGTTGAAATCTATGGGAAAGATTGTTAAAGATCGTAGATACACAATATTTTCACCATTAGATGGCCAGCCGTGTGCTGACCATGACCGTGCTTCAGGTGAAGGTGTTCTGCCTCAGGAGTATACTCTTATCAAGATGGAAGTACTTCAGCCATTCCCTCCAAAGTTGGCACCTTTACAAGGCAAGAGAGTCTTTCTGGCCGCAGCAACTCTGAGGCCTGAGACCATGTTTGGGCAGACAAACGCATGGGTATTGCCTGATGGGAAATATGGAGCTTTTGAAATCAACGAAACTGATGTCTTCATCCTTACTGAAAAAGCCGCACTCAACCTTGCCTACCAGAATTTCTCGAAGATTCCTCAGAAGCCTTCTTGCCTGGTTGAGTTGACAGGGAATGATCTGATTGGGCTCCCTTTGAGGTCTCCTCTATCATTCAACGAGATCATATACGCTCTACCCATGTTGACCATTCTCACCAACAAAGGTACCGGCATCGTTACTAGTGTGCCTAGTGATGCCCCTGACGATTATATGGCTTTGCATGACTTGAAATCAAAGCCTGCTCTTCGTGCAAAGTATGGTGTGAAAGATGAATGGGTCTTGCCCTTTGATATTGTACCTATTATCAACATTCCAGAATTCGGGGATCAGGCTGCAGAGAAGGTTTGCTTGGATCTGAAAATAAAAAGCCAGAATGACAAGGAAAAGCTTGCTGAGGCGAAAAGGTTGACTTATCTGAAAGGATTCACTGAAGGAACCATGCTCATCGGAGAGTTTGCTGGGAGGAAAGTCCAAGAAGTTAAGCCGCTTATCAAGTCAAAACTCATAGAGTCTGGTGAGGCAATCCTTTACAGTGAACCTGAGAAGCAGGTAATGTCAAGATCGGGTGATGAATGTGTTGTGGCCCTTACTGATCAGTGGTACTTAATATATGGTGAATCGGAATGGAGGAAAATGGCTGAGGAATGCTTAGCAAACATGAATCTCTATTCTGAAGAAACCCGACATGGTTTTGAGCACACTTTGAGCTGGCTAAATCAGTGGGCTTGTTCACGGTCTTTTGGTCTTGGAACTCGCATTCCTTGGGATGAACAGTTCCTTGTGGAATCCTTATCCGATTCTTCTCTCTACATGGTCTATTATACTGTTGCTCACATTTTACATGGAGATGACATGTATGGAGGTAGTACTTCTTCTGTCCGTCCTCAGCAAATGAATGATGAAGTGTGGGATTACCTCTTCTGTGATGGTCCATACCCGAAATCTTCGGATATCCCATCATATCTTTTAAATAAGATGAAGCAGGAGTTTGAGTACTGGTATCCTTTAGATGTCCGAGCATCGGGAAAGGATCTTATTCAGAATCATTTGACATTTTTCATCTACAACCATGTTGCAATTATGGCTAGGCGGCACTGGCCACTTGGGATCAGATGTAATGGGCATATTATGTTGAATTCTGAAAAAATGTCCAAGTCAACTGGAAATTTCAGAACTCTTCGCCAGGCCATCGAAGAATTTGGGTCAGATCCCACAAGATTTAGTTTGGCTGATGCTGGTGATGGTGTTGACGATGCAAACTTTGTATTTGAGACTGCTAACGCTGCAATTTTGCGGCTTACAAAAGAAATTGCCTGGATAAAAGATGTTCTATCTGCTGAATCATCACTGAGAGCTGGCCCTCCATCTACATATGCGGATAAGGTGTTCGAAAATGAGATAAACATCGGCATCAGATCGACTGAAAAGGCTTATGATAACTTCTTGTTCAGGGAGGCACTTAAAAATGGGTTTTATGACTTGCAAGCAGCTAGGGATGAGTATAGGCTCTCTTGTGGCAGTGGTGGCATGAACAGGGACTTGATATTGAGGTTTGTGGATGTGCAGACTCGTCTTATTACTCCAATCTGCCCACACTATGCAGAATACGTTTGGAGGAAGCTTTTGAAGAAGGAAGGTTTTGCGGTAGTAGCAGGCTGGCCAACATCAGATGAGCCCGATTTAGTTCTCAAGAGTGCTAACAAATATTTGCAAGATTCCATTGTTTTGATGAGAAAGCTTCTCCAGAAACAGCTCTTGGGTTCCAAGAAGGCCGGTAAGAAAGGTGCTCCTGTAACATCACTGACCGAGGACAAGTTAAGGGGCTTAGTATTTGTGAATGAGCAATTCGATGGATGGAAAGCTCACTGCCTGAAGATTCTACAAAGCAAATTTGACCAACAGACTCGTAGTTTTGCTCCCGACGCGGAGATACTTGGGCAACTGAAGGAGACGTTGCAGAAGGATGGGCAGGCAGACAACTTTAAACAAATCCAGAAGCTTTGTATGCCATTCCTAAGATTCAAGAAAGACGAGGCAGTAGCTCTTGGACCTCAGGCTCTGGATTTGAAGTTGCCCTTCGGGGAGATGGAGGTTCTTCAGACCAACGTGGATCTGATCAAGCGGCAGCTCGGTCTTGAAGAAGTTGAGATCATGTCTGCAACCGATCCTGATGCTGTTGCGAAAGCCGGTCCACAGGCCTCTCTCCTGAAACAGAATCCTCCTTCCCCTGGCAATCCAACCGCCATCTTTATGACTCGGTAAAGGCTCTCTCTAAGTTTCCACTGTTCTTCATCGGTATTATTACCTATCCGATTCAATATCTATGCTTTGGGAATCTATTGATCAGAATATCGTTTTCCTTGCCTTAAGTTGAACTGCTCACTGCCTTACTCAAGTTTCTGAACCATTTAAATTTCTGTGCCAAAATGACAGGTAGTTGAAAACATGTTTCCACTACAAGTCAGAGATTGGAAATGAGTTGAAAAAGTGTCAAGATTTTGCTGGATGTTTTGGTATTTTTATAGATTTTATATGATGAGCTTATTAAGACAATGTTTAACCTATAGTTTCTTCTTTATGTTTGTTCGATTGGCTCCTGCTAAGTAATGTCAACCGTTTTTATTCTAATGTGCACTGGCCTTGCTTCATTTGTTCATCATCCTGGTGTTATATATATATATATATATATATATATGTTTACAAACATGCATGTATAAAAAATAAACTCAGAATATTCTGATTATTTTATAATCTCAGAGTTTGTATCATAAATATCTTACAATTTTAGGGTTTAACATAAACATCTATCAAAACTTTGTGTAGGATTCTCCAATAATGGTAAACCTAAAACAAAGATGCATTAGAAGAGGGTTATGAAATGAGATTCTAAATTAAAAGAATGGATATATTTCAGACAATGAATGATCTCTCTTCCTCTCTTTACATAAAGTGCCAGATCAATCAACTGTACAAAATACAAAACCCTATTTTCTTCCCTTCAGGACCATACAAAAGTCTAAAATGGACTAGAAAGCATGGTGAAGAGCCATCATTATATATTAGCAAATCAAGGAGAATCAGATCTCTACATATCACCGGCCGTTAGCCGCCGCCGCGAGGAGCAACGATTGGCTTTGCCCGTTCTCGTCGTCCCTCTTCTTCGTCTTGTCCACCCGAGCCCTACGAACAGCCAACCTGATCTGTCTCTCGTGTTCTTTCAGCATTTCATCTAAGTTTCCTCCTGCAGGAATCAACGGTCCCGAGTAGTGCATCCGCCCGTTCTTCCCGTCAAAACCCTGATTCTGCATTTCAAAGTAAAACCAACGCAATCAACAAGACGGGTTTTTATGTGACCAATATCAATCGTATATAAAGATCCCTGAACGACATAATGGGAGTTGTTCTTTACCGTTCCACAGGAGTATTCATCTTTCACGGGAGCTTTGGGCTTGTCCAGTAAACGTTGGGACCAATCACCATTCTCAGAGGATTGATCACCGTCCACATGCTGCTGGTGCCGTCCATAGTTTGGATTCACTGTTGAGTCTCTAACGCTTCCGAAACGTGACCCATCCCCCCGAGTGGCTACCGGGTTTGAGAATCTTGACAACTGGGCAGCCCCTCGTTGGACAAAAGACCTCTGCATTCTCAGTTCTTTCGAATGGCTTGAACTGCCGAGAAACCCATCTCCATTTCCATTCATATTAACCGAAGACCCTAAGGCTGTTCCATTCGGATGTTGGATCCGAAAACCAGCCCCAGCATCTTCCTCACAGTTGAAATTTTCACTGACACTCGTCACATTATTCTGTACTTGCCGTTTCTTCCCAAAAGGGGGGGGGGGACCGAACAAGAAAGAAAACAATAAGATAGATGCATAGGCCTATATATATACACGCATCTCTAGTATGTAAACAAAAGTAGAAGTACCTGTATTGATGCCAGTAACTCGGCATTGGCATCTGGAGCTGGTACAGCTTTAGATTCTCTAGATGCTGCCCGTTTCGATTCGTTCTGCCCTTTACCGGACGCACCTTTTTTCCTGGTCATGCAGAAAAGGGACTCGTAAACAAGGCTGATGAATCAAAGAAAGGCTAGTCTTTTACCATATGATATTCCTTATCTTACCTTCTTGCTTCTTCATCTCGGAACTTAGCATCATATTCCTTTCTTGGTTGGTACCTCGGTAAGCTTGATGGATCACTTGGAAAAGGCTTCATCGTGAAGAACTGAAGTAAAGAAAAAGAAACCAACAGAAACAAAAGATTAAGACAGGAAACTTGAAGACTTTTATACATAACAACCAGCTGAACAAAGCCAACTAAACCACACATCAATGCTGCAATAGTAAAAGCAATTGCGTTTTTAAGGTTGTTATGTCTTGATATGAATTCACAAATGTTAACCAGAATGAAAAAGAAAAAGTTCTAAAAGGTAATCGAGTATAAAAGCCTAAATGTTACAGATATAGCAAAATTTCATGGCTTTACCTCGCTTTGAAGGGCAGAGGAAGCAGTTCCACGGGCATTTGGTTCTACAGCTAGAAGGACCTCCAAGAGGGCCAAAGCTGAAGAGGGAAGAAGATCCTTGAATGTCTCAGCTACACATTTCTGATAACGCTGTTGAGGTTTAAAGATGGTTGCATGTGGCAACTTCGATCTTTTCCAATATTCCTCGGAAGGTGATCCACAGAGTTTGAAGATCTTGTGCAACTGTTCCACCTGTTTATACAAGAAAATGAAAGGATCTGTGGATTTGGTTTAACAGACTGTAGATTCTAATGTTAAGCGGTAAAACCGAGGTTTTGAAGAGAAATTTTCGTCCAGTAAATAAAAAACCTCAGTTCTTCCGGGCATAATAGGCTTCCCAGTAAACAGTTCTGCAAGTATGCAACCAGTGCTCCACAGGTCAACTGTAACTCCATAGTCTGTAGCCCCCAGCAGAAGTTCAGGTGGGCGGTACCACAAAGTCACAACACGACTTGTGAGAGGCTGCTTTTGGTGGCCCCGGAAAAAATTAGCCAGACCAAAATCACCAATCTTGAGATTGTTGTTACGGTCAAGTAGAAGATTCGAGCCTTTGATGTCACGATGCAAAACACCATGGCTATGGCAGTGTTCTAGCCCATGAAGCAATTGCTTCATATAGCATTTTATCTGTAAGCATAAGAATTGACCACACAATATCACAACCAACACACACACACACAAACACATACACATATAATCATCAGTTAACACCAGTGATTTATAAAACGAGTTGCACTGGTTCAGGATATGATATATTTTTACCTGTGCCTCAGAGAATTTAATCCCCGGGGATGAAGCAAGTCCTGAGAGGTCATGATCCATATATTCAAATACAAGGTACAGACTTCCAGATACCCTTGAAGTGATCACACCTTCGAGCTTCATGACATTTGGATGGTCAAGCCTGCGTAGGATGATTATTTCTCTTGCCATGAACCGAACACTTTCAGGATCCATATTAGCAAACCGAACTTTTTTCAATGCAACTATCTGGTTTGATTCAAGGTCACGGGCTTTGTATACACTGCTGTACGTCCCTTGACCAATCTACAACACAGGCAATGCCAGTTTTTCTTCATGCCCAAGACAATCATATTGTCAAAACACAACAACAACATAACTAGAACTATGTCATGATTTTTCTCTAGCAACTGGAAGTTCCTGACAACAGTAAGTGTAAACATAGTTAAACAAAAACCTCACCTTCTCCAACTTCTCAAATGAATCTGCTTTGCGTGGAATCCATCCATTGATGGCTTCCCCAGCAACAGCAGCCAACCACGAGGGCCAACCCGCAATAACTTGAGCCCCTCTTTCTCCATTGGAGATGCTTGCTATTCTAGTCATCCTAGGTTGCAACACTCCTACATTATCCCCACTCCCAATATCCATGGCAGGCCGTCTCTGGAACACAGATTTAGAAGATTTTCTCTCAAAACCATCCTTCTTCTCCGCTTCGTCAGACGATACTGGCGTCAAGCAAGCATTTTTACTATCGTTGGGTATCAGCCTCAAGGTGGCTTCATTGCCATTGAGACCTTCTTCCTCGGATTCCACAATGGCATTCCTCGTAGAAACAGATTGTTTCTTCGAGTTTTTAGGCAAGTCTTCATCCTTAACATGGTTGTTCTCTACATACCCATTTGCTTGTATTCCTTTCGAGCAAATGCAGCCCATAATTTTCCTCAGTTCCCTGATCCCAACCAGGAAACTGTATGATTCAAATGCCCTCTGTATGCCTCTTCTTTAACGCAAAACCTAGCTTCTCTGTAAATGAAATTCCCCACCAGCATCAAGAACACAGGACACCACCCCAAGACGATACCAAGATTCGAACTTTTCGAATCCTCAATGCAACACAAATCAGTCGAATTAAGCTTCTATATACATTAAACGAAACCAGTTACGGACAATATGGATTCAATTCGAAGACCACGCCCAAATAGAAACCCAATAAAAAAATTCCCTGAAAATAAAGCTGAAGACCCTACCAGAAATCTAAAGACTGCAGAAATCAATTCTGGAAATTATATATCCCCAGATCCTAAAATCCCTTATAAAGAAAATCAAGAGGGCATAACCAAAAACTAAGTAGACGGAATGAAACTGGAAAATTTCAGATCGAAGCAAATGACTTTGGAATGACAACAAAATATGTAAGGAAGAACCGAAAGCTTCGTTACAATGACCTCTTGGGTTTCTCTGGGACTAAAAACTTTTCCGAAAACACGAAATCACAGTCGAAAGAGATGAACAGCAGCCGAGGAGAGAGAGATTCAAATTCTCCCGACAGAGGGAGAAAATACAGAGAGATTTTCGGATCTGAGTGATTCCTATGATTACGAAAACCTATAAAAAAAAATAGGGCTACAACGGACAGCTGGAGCTTCTGTGTCTTCTCTATTTCCGGAAATGAAAATCCTCCAAAAAAAGAAGTAACTAAGAAGTAGCTGTATTCTGCCGTTAGAAAGAGAATCAAATGCCAGAGATCGCCATTAATGGAGAAGAGAAACAGAGAATCTGGCTTAGATACACACAGGTAGAGAGAGAGACGAAGGGCTTGACACTTCGAAGTTGAGAGAGAGAGAGTGTTGCTGCGACGCAAAGCGACCGCCACGTGGAAGCGCGTGGACCCTTGATGGGCCCCATATAAATATCTAAAACCGGGCTCTTGAATCAACACTAGTCCTTACGTACGGGCTTTTTTGGGCTCTTATTGGGCCCGGGGGGGGGGGGG